ACCTTTCCCAGTCTATCCTTTGTCCACCATGCATGACACGTCTCAACAAGGTCATTTACCCGAGCGGGGGCATATTGGGTCAGCGCGCCGGAAGCTACGCCTCCAACGCGACTCCGGAGGCGACCCAAGAAACTCATCCCAGCTTCACGAACCTTCTGCACCTCGTGTTTCGCGGCTGCATTTGCCGGCTCGACAACAGCGTTCGTCACCGAGCGGAAGACCTCAGGAACGTGCGTCTCCTCGATCGCTTGGGCGAATGACCCGTCTGCGGCGAGAGAATCAATGACATTGCGTATCGGTGACTGTCTTGCTGACTGGTAAATAGGCTTTTGGAGGAGTTTCTTGGGGGTGGAAGGGAGAATAGGGTCGGCGGCTCGCGGTGCGGCTGGGGCTGCAGACGGTGGCGGAGCAGGTGCACCTTTGTGTATGAAACGCTGATAGTCTTGCCCAAGCGTGACAAGGCTGACCCTGGTCAGAGAGCTCCACAAACTGGGCATAAATTTCTGGTCGTTGAATAGGGCCGTCCGTTGAGCGCCCGCAGCGGGTGAATCATCCCCGGCGATGTCGTTGAGTTCGGCATATGCGAATTGCTTGATGATCTTGTCGGTGGAAGTGGTGCCAGAGACCAGCGTAACAATAGGATCTGCGGAGGAGAGTCCAACGTGGACGGGCATGGGTACGTAGAAATCGAAGAGGGCATTTGAGAATTCCCATACATCGACAGTGACGGAGCCCAAAGACCATGCCTGAAGAATCAATCCAAGATGATGCAATGGAAAGAGCGAGGCCACCGACGAGCGCACGAAATGCCCCGTTAATGGTCTCAGAAGCCAGGGAGCGAAAGGGACACGATACAGAATGGGTAACATGAAGACTTTCGCGAGTGCGATAGTTATCATTGATAGAACGACGGTGATGGTGGTCAGCAGTCTTGCGACGGCCATCGTTTTGGCTATATTAAGAAGAGCAAATGGTCGCCGCGCGCTCGAACGAAACAAGTAGCGATCGAGCATAGTGTTGCGCACAGTGAAAGCCAGAGCCAGTAACACTTGTGAACAGAGTAGAAATATTAGGCGACCGTTCAAGTAGTGTGGGTGCTTTCTATTGCAGGTCAGGAAATCGACGCCATTGAAAGAGCGGAATAACTCACTTGGATTTAACAAACAACGAAAGTTTTGCTCCTGAAGACACGAACGCGTGGATCGTCGCGATGAGAATGGCCGAAGCAGTGTGGGTGAGTACAGCATGAAAGGTGATTGGCTTGCATAGCGCTTGCCGTACGGTCTTTGAAGGAGAAGTCGCAAGGCTAGAGTCAGCTAGGCGTGCAACTATTAGATAGGGTTTTCGTTGCTTTGTTGACACCGCACCTGTAATGTAGCGTTTCCGCAGAATGATGCTGGGAAGAGCCCCCGCTATCCAGAATGTGGAAGCGTACAATAATAAAGTAAACAGCTTCTGCACGAGCCCACCGCCTCCCCACGTCGGCCAGCAAAAGATAGCCACCCAGCAGAACAGGGCGCTGTACACGAATATTTCGGAGACCAAGCGACGCTGTAATACTGATTTGACAAGTGGTTCGTATCCCCCCGATGCTGAGGGAATCGTAGGCGTCGTCTTTGTCGCAAACACTGATGGAATCGCATGGACTTGCGAGGTACGCGCGGGAGTTGGGCCACTCCTGCTGTTCAACATGGTGATATCAGGAAACGAAGGTTATGGCAGTGATCCAAACCAATTTCATGGAGCCTTGGAAGAGCGTTTGGAGGCTTGTACGGTTGCACGCTTGAAATTTGCTCCCAAAGAACGTTCGAACGTCGTTTGAGCTTTGGATTTTCGAAAATACTGAGGCCTGACGATCACGTGATGCCACCGCGCGCGATGGCCGCAATGACTCTGCCTTATTTGAAAACGCTCCGAGTCCAGTTCACTAAGAGAGCCGGTAATAAACTTGGTATGAAGCGTAGTCTTGGATTATTTCAGAGGAAAGACTCTCATTCGTCCCCCGTCTAGTCTTTCAGGAACCGGCTCTGGCCTAGCTCTGGTTGGAACGCAAGGCTTGTCCCAACAGTCCTGGTGAAGCTTTGTCTGTATGTAGGACGACGCCTCCATAGAAGACCCTGCAAACCCGATTATATCCAGCAGGATACGAAATACGTCTTTATTGATGTGACCTCGACCTCCTGAGTAATCGTCCGTTTCTCTTCGCACTCGTCCTTTATCAAAGTGGCTCCAGGTGGCTCCGTGCTTTCTATTACCCCCGTCGGGATGCACCGAGCACCTTATTCTCGGGTATATGTCTACGTCGATTACTAGCCATCGATGTGACCTCGGCCATCTTTCCGGGACCCCTGGACGGCTACCAACGACCGGGTTACAGAGTAGCCGAGGAGGCGCAACATTTCACAATTTGCATAAAGGTTGACCTCGAGTTATGATCAAGTGATATACTTTCACTGTTCTTTTATTCGCCGGTATGGCTGCTTCAATAGCAGAAGGCTCAAGGCGCTCTTCCCTTACCCTCATGGAACATAGGAATACGCTCCCAGCGGTGGCGCTGGGCCCAAGTCCGTTGGACAGGGAGATCGCGCAGGACGAGCTAGAGTTCGAGACATATGGAGGGAATGATATTCACGACCCACCGTCGAAAGAAGCAGGCTCGATCACACCGACACCTACGTTTACGGAGCCAGCCCAAGACCCCAATCGTGTATTTTGGAAAGGTACCGACGATCTAGAAAATCCTCAGAATTGGTCGGTTCGTCGTAAATGGGGCATCACTGCGGTGTGCATCATGATGACAGTAAACGTGTGCGTCCCATCATCGTTGATGCTTACCGTACCCACTCACTGACGATCTACGAACAGTACCTTTGCCTCGTCCGCTCCGACGGCAGCAACCCACGCCGTCATCTCCACCTTCGGTATCTCTGCTGAGGTATCTTATCTAATGACAACGACTTTCCTTCTGGGCTACGTATTTGGACCATTATTTTGGGGCCCGGGTTCGGAGCTGTGGGGCAGACGTCCTATTTTCCTCATCGCCATGATATCCTACACCTTACTTCATCTGGGACAAGCACTCGCGAAGAACATTGAAACGTTACTCGTTACACGCTTCCTTTCCGGATTTTTCGCCGTCGCGCCGATGACGAACTGTGGTGGTAAGTTTACCTCCCCTTCTAAATACTTCCTTTGTCGATCGTAGCTATTTTAGGCGTTATAGCGGACATTTGGTCTGCCGAGACTCGCGGGCTTGCTACTAGTCTTTTTACCGCGAGCGTGTTTATGGGTCCTGTCATGGGTCCTATCGTCGCTGGATAGTAAGTCGGCATGCATTTCTCTTGGATCCCTTTTGAAACTCAAGAACGCCCAACAGCATCGTCGAGAGCTCCTTAAGTTGGCGATGGGTCTTCTGGGTGATGATGATATTCGCCGGGGCGTGCACATTGCTCATGATAGTTCTCCTACCCGAAACATACGCACCTGTACTCCTTCAGAAGCGCGTAAGTTATCTTCACACGTCACACGCAAGTGGCATCAATCTTACTCTATCTCTGTCATTCAGGCCCAGCGGCTAAGGAAGGCCGACCCCGAAAAGAATCATGCACTCTACGCTGAACATGAACGGAGCGATTGGTCTTTCAAAGGCGTCCTGCACCGCACACTCTTCAGGCCGTTCAAGATGCTAGCGATGGAGCCTATCCTTCTCCTCGTAACGTTCTACGTCTCTATCGTCTACGCCATTCTCTATGCCCGTAAGATACTTCTTACCATGCACCTGCCACCCACTCAAACGCTCCGCTCTTCATACAGTCTTCCAGGCGTTCCCGATCATCTTCGTGAGCAAGCGCGGGTTTACTATCGCGCAAGACGGCCTTATCTTCATCGGCATCGGCATCGGGACGAGTCTGGGCTCGCTTATCAACGTCTTCACCAGCAGGCACTATCCAACCCTGATTGCTAGGTGGAAGGGCTTCCCGCCACCGGAAGAACGGCTTTATGGCGCGATGATCGGTGGCCCTTGTCTGGTTGTCGGGATCTTCTGGCTGGGGTGGACGGGTGAATACTCCTCCATCCCATGGTACGTGCCAGCCATCAGCTCGGTGTTCCTCGGGACTAGCATCAGCTTGATCTTCATATCGTTCCTGGTTAGTGGTACTCCTCGTGGTAATTGCCCAGTAACTAACCATCAATATTACATAGAGTTATCTGGTGGATACATATTTGTGTGTTCTTTTTTTCATTCTTCGGTGATATTCCTCGGCTAATCGTCTCCAAGGATGTACAGTGCTTCCGCTTTCGCGGCGAACACAATGTGTCGTTCGGCGGCCGCGGCGGCGTTCCCGCTATTCACAGTGCAAATGTTTACTAAGGTACGTCTCGTCGACTTTCACCCTCTCACTAGTGACTCATTCCACCTCCTAGATGGGCGTAAATTGGGCTTGTACACTCTTTGGTATACTTGGCCTGATACTTGCTCCCTCGCCATTTCTGTTCAAGAAATATGGCCCGCGCATCCGCGCGCACAGCAAATTCGCTCCCTGTATCGTACGTCCCTGCGCTATACCTTCTTTTCCCCCGTTTCTGATAGTTATTCGTCATGCAGGATCTGCGCATCGCGAAAGAGCTCGAGGCAGAAGCCTTGGCGAAACAAGAGAAAGTTTGATGTGTCTATACACGTCCGCACCCAACGGGACACTTACCACCACTTCCACGATTATCATCACGACATAGACGAATTATTTATCGACAGTTTACACGCATTACCTAGAGTTCATTCGCATTCAAATAGAACTTGTATTTCGACGATATAATCATCCTTTCAGTACCCTATCGCTTATCTACCATGTATATCACTTGCGTATTTGACTAGACGTCGCCTATGGTGAATATGTGATAGTTGAATTAGTTCATCCCCTCAAAATTCGGGCTCGCTACGCATTGGGAGACTGTAGGATCCAGATTGCAGCTTAAAAAGCGTCAAAGCAGACTACAAAACATGCATTAAGAGAGAATCGAACTCCCGGCGGGTCGAAACGAATGTTCCATTGGCAACGACCCAGGTTACCACTACCCCATTAATGCTGCGACAGCAAGTTGGTGAAGCCCATACATGGTCGACTTAAGTATTAGACAAGATGCAAGGCATGAGCCTAGCAATCACTACAAAACATGTTTGAATAAGGTAGCTATTATCGCTTGGAACCCTGGGATGATAGCGCCATCCGGCAACAGCATCCGTAAGTTCAGGACCTTCACAGACTGTTGATGAATTCGAGCGCGAGCGCGGGACTAAAAGACGGGAATGGTCAGGCATATTCGCTTCAGATCAGCGAGGTGCCGCACCTCTCAGCGGGTTTCACAATCTTCTTATCTACCAGTTTGCCGCCTTTCTCAAAGATGAAATGGCTTCGCTTGGTCTTACCCCCCTCACCGGCACCGAGGGCAGTGATCAATTTGCGTTTGGGATCGGAAAGGAGAGGGTACGGCAGCTCTTTCTATTGCAACGGTTGAGTATGATCCTCGTAGATCGCAACTATCGCCTTACCTTTGTTTTCCATTTACTTTGGGCTGTGGGCGAGTCGGCACTCAGGCAGTAAACCTCATAGTTGTGCGATGTGAAGTCAGGATATATGTCTCGGAAGCCGCATGCTTGGTTGGTGCAACCAGCTACCAGCAAGAATAATGTTAATTCTCCACGTCCAGAAGGTACTCCGTAGATCCACGTACGAGTATCCGCCTTGGGCACTAGGAAAAGTACTAGACCCTTCTCAGACACAAGATCAGCGACATCTACCTCCACATCCTCCTCGTTCTTCAAAAGGATGCTAGGAAGGATGTCGCCAAGGTCGATCTTTGGCAAAGTATCATTACCTTCAGTATTTTCTTCGTGCTCAGGACTGGATTTGGCCTACGATCTACATGTAGTCCCATATACAAGGGATGCGAAACAAGAATGAATGACCTTCTTCGCTGTGGTCTTCTCTGCTGCAGCCTCAGCTGTGCGTTTCACAGAAGGCTTCCTAGTTTTGGCAGTAGTCTTGACTTCCTCTTTCGGTTGCGCCGAGAGCCTCGAGGAACGTCGAGGAGCTGAAGAATCTGTGGTAGACATGCTAGTTCAACCAATGGTAATGGGCGCCTAATAGTGCGCCTCGTAATTTTCCCTCCTCATGGTCACTGGTCAGCCTCAGTATTTTGCCTAAGTCAGTATAAAGTCCATGTTAGTCCATTTTTTGATGGAATTCGTCAGTTTCCGTACTTTTGATGTAAAAATTCCGGCACCTGCCTCTTTTGATCTTGTGCGGAAGGTCACAACGAAATCTAAGTCAATGAAAAGCGAACTTATAGTGACTTAGTTTGACTGGGAATGTGAGCGTAAAGTTCAGACATTGATTATGTAAGGTGAGCTGAACGAAAATCACAGGGGCGAAGATGCATTAATTGAAAGAACACCAAGGTTTTAGCCTAAGATCAGCTGCTCAGGAAGTGACAAAGACGGAGGGGGTATCTTGAGGGTGCCGAATGTCGAATTATGGGGTATTTAGATACGAGACGACGGAGGGGGGCATTAGGGAACAGCAAATATATTTGGAGGCAGTGAGAATAAGGCTGCCGCCCGACTCGCAGTTTGGTTTCTAGAGAATCCCGCAGTGAGAAGGGGTGTTGATTATGAGGCACATTCGAGAGAGAGTCGAGAGACTTGGAAGAGCATGAATACTGGTGGCAGACGCTGGTGCCCCCTGTCTGCAATTACATAATCTTCCTTGATTTGGATGGCCAGTTCAATTGTTGGACTTCAACGTTTCGACGTTTCAACTCCTCACCAACATCCCCAATGTCCACCTATCACTTAAACAACCGTTCACAACACTTGGGGCATTCGATGCGGGCCCGAATTGAAGCTCTTGACACTTCTTCTCGCCGTAACGCGCCCCATGTGGATAATAACTGCCCCAACTCTCTGGATCCACGCGCCTGGCAAACAGACTACTCGCAGGATTCCCATTCCCCTACGCGCTTCGCTAACTATTCCGACTCCCATACTCAAGCCCAAGGTTCAAGACCACTCAGTACACGCAATCATCATCCCATGGACACAGAGAGGGTTTGTGAGTACCTTATATTTCAACGTCAATGTGATGCCTCCAGCCAACCAGTTGTATGTATGACTCAGCTATATCCTCGTATCAAAACGATCCCAGCCCTTCCTACCGACCAACTACCCCTGCCGACCACCATCGATGGCTTTCTACCCCACCCCACCTACTACGCCCGCCTCCAGATTACTACGTATGGGAGACAGTTATCCTCCTGCGCCGGCAAGTCACACTTTTGGAGGAGACCGTGTCGCTTATGCGGCGTGAGCTTTCTGAATTGCGGAGACAGAGTTGCTCTGATTTTCGGTAAGTTGACTATGCCTGTATGTCTGCCACTGATAGCTTACCCCAATTCTCAGTGTCCACCACGACCAAGAGGATCCCTTCGTACGGCTGTCCCACTTACCTGAGTCTGTGCTCCGGGACTTCAAGGCGGCCCATTCCCCTTACCCCGAGGACACCCCCTCGGTCTCCCACCGATCCTTGCTCGAAAATACAGCTCACGATTCCACCGACATATCCCTAGATTCAGGTAAACCGTAAAATCAACTCTGATAAAGAAAATTATTGCTAAACATTATTCTAGAGTCCTCCATCGGCGATCGAAGAAGTGAATAGACTGTATCGTATTATTATATATATATTGCATCATATTTACTATTAGTAGGAATTTATTTTATTGCTTTAGAACGGTTTTGTACTTGACTTAACCTGACCGTGAGCGACTGTCGCGTTGAACATGGTAGCCTGACTTTCCATGACTTACTTAGACACTAACAGACTTGGCTTGACTGGTTTTCTTCAATACGCGAAAGGGACCAACAGAATCGTTTTCAAGTCATTTTACGGTAAATATTCCGGCCTAGGTCCGGCTAAGTCATGATTTTATGACTCACACAGACTTAGGTAAAACACTGAGGGTCAGCACCTTTGTGGTACCCGCACTGCGGATGGTCTTTACGTTTTCAACTTTGACTTAAATATGAGAAGATCCAATTTACTATGGTCGTGTAGCTTCGTAGTCCTCAATGGAGGGCGTTGATAGAAACCCCTATACCCCACATACATCAAGTAACTTGCCTTGATGATTAAATAAAGAGGCAATCCCAACCCGCTGCGCAAAATCAAAGTCTAATAACGTCCTGGAGCACACTTTCTGACATCTCCACGGGTTCAACCGACTGAAAAGCCGCGCTAGCATCGCTGGATAAAAGAAAGACCCGCGACAACGTTACGTGCATTCCACAGTTAACTACACGTTGGTTGAACCCACATGGACCACCTCACCGCGACTTCTTTAGATCAGCTCCCACCTCTCTGACAACTTCCGACGAAGACATGGACTCCCATGTACCTGACCTAAGGCGGCCCGGAGGACGAGCCATGGCGCTAACATCATCTTGTGATCAAGACTGCATACGCACTCAAGCACTTCGACTTCGCGAATTCATGTTATTCTCGTTCACTCTTCAGTCTTCTTCGCCACCCAGATATTACTAGATGCAGCGCATAAAGCCTTAAGGACCCCGAAGGCCCGAAGGGTCCATCCGAGCTCTGATGGCGAAGACTTTGTTCATCACTGTGCTCGTTCACATTATTGTTGCACGCACCAGCTATGCAGCGCTATACGGGTTCCCTGACTGCGTTAACGGTCCCTTGAAGAATAACGCCGTCTGCGATACCGCCAAAAGTCCCAGGGAACGGGCGCAGGCCGTCGTCAGCCTATTCACCATTGACGAACTCATCAATAGAACGGCCAACGAAAACCCAGACGTACCTCGGCTGGGCCTCTCTAGCTATAATTGGTGGTCTGAGGCCCTCGTACGTCCTCTGTCTTGCAGGACATGAATGAACGCTAAAAACAATAATCGTGTAGCACGGCGTTGCTACTAGTCCTGGTGTAACGTTCGCGCCTTCGGGCAACTTCAGTTTCGCTACATCATTTCCTCAGCCCATTCTATTAGGTGCTGCATTCGATGATGGACTGGTGAAGGAGGTGGCTACCGTGATCAGCACTGAAACACGGGCGTTCAACAACTTTGGGTTTGCTGGCCTCGATTACTTCACGCCAAATATCAACCCATTCAAAGACCCTCGTTGGGGGCGTGGCCAAGAGACGCCTGGAGAAGATCCCTTCCATATCTCCCAATACGTCCTCCAGTTGATTAGCGGCTTGCAAGGCGGCATCGATCCCCCGCAATTCAAAATCGCCGCGAGCTGCAAGCATCTTGCTGCATATGACCTCGAGCTCTGGCAAGGCATTGCGCGCTTCTCCTTTGATGCCGTAGTGACCTCCCAGGACATGTCCGAGTTCTACCTCCCCACGTTCCGGACCTGCGTTAGAGACGCCAAAGTCGCTTCGGTGATGTGCAGTTACAACAAGATCAACGGGATCCCCTCATGCGCCAATTCGTGGTTGCTACAAGATTTGTTGCGGGGCGAGTGGGGGTTCGATGACAACCGTTGGGTGACAGCCGACTGCGATGCTGTCGACAACATATGGAGAACACATCACTTCACGTCCACGCCCGAGGAAGCTGCAGCCATTGCACTCAAAGCGGGTACAGATGTTGGTTGTGCTCGCAATGGAACGGCCTTCGCGAGGGACTTGCCGGGTGCTTTCAATCAATCTATGATCACCAGAGCCGATCTAGAGGGAGCTGTCGTCAAGCTTTATACTTCCCTTGTCCGGTAAGTGACAATCAAATCCATCACCTACAGGTAACAGTTGTATTTAATGTATTCGTTTTAGCCTTGGTTATTTTGATCCTCCAGAGACACAACCATTTCGACAAATTGATTGGTCTGATGTCAATGTTCCGAGCGCCCAAGCTCTTGCCCACAGAGCCGCGGTGGAGGGGATAGTCCTTCTCAAAAACGACGGAATCCTCCCGATTGACCGAAAAATCAAGCGTGTGGCGATGGTCGGACCATGGGCAAATGCTACCGTCCAGATGCAGGGTAATTACCATGGCATCGCTCCATTCC